GCCTTAGGGCGAACACCTTTTTTCTTGTTTTAAATAAGTCAGGGAATGGATAGATTGGCAAATTCTAAGTATCCTTTGTTTCATCAAGTTTTTTTCTGAAAGTCAATAGTTTTCAACCTATTCGCAAGTGAAGTTGTCAACTTGTCAACCAAAAAAATTCACATTCTCAGACGATTTTTTGCGAATAAATTTGAATAATAAATAAAAAGAATGGTGTCCACCCAGGACAAACTCAAACTCAGTACCTCTGATTCTTCAAACCCCAAAATTGAAAGTACCAATGCAAAATAAGTAAAAATTGTTTCGGGTAATTTGGTTCTTTGAAATGCTTTCTGTTTTTATTAAAGTCCTTTGCATCAAAACTAAGCAAGTTATGACGAAAATAATGGTGGTCCATGGGTGTTTCTTTTGGTGACTAAAAATGTGAAAATCCTCCTATAATTACCAGGATAATTGAAAATAATCGTTACCACTTTGCAATTCACTTTAGTTATGTACCTACTGACGACATGCTGCAGAAGTTTGGCAGGTTTTAAACCAGCTTGGTGCTTAGTTTTAAAGAAAATTGAGCTTGAAGAGAATATATGCGAAAATTGGACCGTATTTTACTCAATTATTATCCCACAGAAAAGCAAAACCTACAATTCTGTACAAATTCTTGCGTATGTTTAAAAGTTTTTGGGTTATTTTAAAGAAAAGATAACTTTGTGCAAAATTACAAGAACTATAGCCCATTTCTATCAAAACTAAGCATTTCAAATAGGGAAAACTTCTAGAGCATAGGTATATGAATATAAAGTGAATTGTAAAGTAGTAACGTGGCATTTAGGGGGTGATTTTCACATCGACAAAATACTTACCTATTAAGTTATTCGCGAAAAAGGGTCTGAAAACCTTCAATGGCAAGTTCACTTATGAATAGGTCGGTAACTATTGACTCTCAGAAAAAACCTTAAGGAACAAAAGTTACTTAGAATTTGTCAACCTATCCATTCCCAGATTCATGTGGGTAATTAATTCACCAATTACTTATTTGACTATTTTATTCAACAATTATCAATAATCAACCGTACATCAACGTTAAAATCACTCATATTAACCGTATAACATCTGCACGAGGGTATTTTCGTGTTAGTCGAGGAATTGACCCACAAACGCTTGAATTTGTACCCGAGATGGTAAAACAGTGATGGGAAATCTTTGAGATTGTCTTTTAATTTTCAACAAGAGCCGTCATTTAACCACGTGAATCAAATTTTCAAGAGTATACAAAACTTCGTCTTATAAACAGGACGCTTAAACTGCTTCCCGTTTCTTTTCCCCTTTTTTTTTCTAACAATAATGTTTATGCATACCTTCCACAAAATTCACGCAATTAATTTGGGCTTGAAACAGAGCCATCGTTCGCTAAACTGCAGTATGCAGAAACACGTAGGCGATAAAAAATATGAACCAAAACTCTAAAATATTTATAGGAAGCGGCGGCGGCGGTCACACATCTCTTCGCACCCATCTTACAGTATAAAATGAACGATTCAATGAACGACGACTACTTTACTTCGCCTTTGGTCTAAATTTAGATTTATTTTCAAAACAAATTACTTTTTAACACTGAAAAGTCAATTAGTCCTCGGTTTAAAGAGATTACGCACTCTCCCCGTTTTTTTCAATTTTTTGAATATTGCGACCTGCATTTTAATAAACTGTTTATACCAGCGCGCGGTCTTTTTGTCCCCCTAACACTTTTCGTATCTCAAAGGCTTCCGATGGATTTGTAACATGGTTCGAGTCGTTTGATCTCATGCGATGTCGGCAAAAGACTTTCCATTCCACGCTTCTTGTTATGATTATGAAATTAAACGAATTAGGTTAAGTTAAACAAATGGTTGCGAAATTTAACCTTAACATTCAAAAAGTGGATTTGTTCCTTAAAAACCTAACCCTTACGGTTTTGCTTTGCAAGGGTGCTAGTGAACCTCTTGGATTTTCTACGATTAACCATTGAATTTTTTTACTACAAAAGGTCGAAGGCCTTTCTCCATTTATGAGATTATTGTCTCACAATTAAAATTTGCAAAAACTTGCCTTACTGCGCGTACCTGTAAAAGATGTTACTGTTACCGTTGAGTGAAGGATGCTATTACATAAACATAAATTGAATAATTATAAATTATGTTGTGACAATTATTTTTAATTTGATTCTCCATATGAGAATAAATTGATTACAGATAGTTACAAACAATAATTTGCATGTTATTAAACACGTACACGGCGCTTGATTGATAATGAAGCATATTATTATAATTAATATAAGTACCCACTTCTATCTACATTTTTGGAAATTGAAAAAAAAACGAAACAGTTTTTTAAGAACATTTCTTTTGAGATAAATGAGCTCATTTAAATGTCAATCCTTAATTATACTTATCCAATTAGTCGGAATGCAATCTCGAAATTCGGTATCCCAATTACCACCCATTGTTAATTGGAATTCGCAGGTCAAACGGCGAGATCATCGATATCACCTGGTATCTACGAAAGTTTCACTTTACCATAGAAAACAAAACCTGCTAAAAATGGTTTATCAGGTCTGAAATTTTAAAATATTAATTTGTCCTCTTCTTCTCGGACAAGAGAGCTTTCGGCGGCTGCAAAATTCCTACCGGAACGATTGCAAAACTGATTAATTCGCTACTTCACTTACGTGAAGACAATTAAACAAAATGAAAACACAGACTCACTCCTCGTCTCCTAGAGCAAATGAGTAAATTCAGAAACTACTTAGTAACGAAGCGGCAAACGAATAACGCTTATAGATACCGGCTGTTCGGCAAAGCTGTCCACTCCACGGTGTTCACATACGGTGTGGTCATAACTTCGGGTATGAAACTTTAAGGTGGAAAACAGGTATTTCGTTGCAATTTTTGTTGCATACGAAAGCTCCTGTTGTTTAGAGGACGAGGAAAAATTAATATTTTAGGATTTCAGCTCCGTTAAGTCATTATTCGCAGGTTTTAGTTTTCTACGGCAAATTTAGAATTTTTTGAAAAATCTTTTTGAATCAATATTGAATTTTTTAATTTTTTTTTAGTTTCATATTTTTGGAAATAGAATTTAATATGCTACCTTTTCAAAACAAAATATACAGGGGTTCCATTAAAAAAATTAGGTTAGGTCGGATAACTGGTTTACCTGACCTCGTATACTTATTTCGAAACAGGTAGATTATTTAATCAACGCTTATAAAGAAACCTTTGTAATAAACATTTTTGTGTATATCTTTTAAAGAAAATATAGCGTCATTCTGAAATTGACAATTTATTACCCATATATCTTACGCGAGTGGAAATCTTCAAATTTTGATTATTAAAAATTCGAGGGTGGTAGGATTACTCGGCGACGTAACTAATGAGCGATATTGTTTGTGCTCCTTCTTTTGTAAATATTTTCGAGTTTAAATTTTAGAGTTTAATTTTACTATTTAATTTTAAAAAGAGACTTGTAAAACACTTTCAGTTTAATTTTCTAGTTCGATAAAAAGAATTAATTAAAATCTTTCTGCCCCTTAAATAAAATTTTGAGGTTTTAAGTTTAGGAAGATCTGAAATACGTTTCAGAACTTGCAAAAATGTTCGAGCTTACTTGGATTTTCTAATCGTCTTAATTTACAATTGGGAAATCACGAGCAAATACCCGATCTAAATACTTGGCGGATATGGCGCAGTGGCGGTATACCTGGATCGTAGTTTGGTGTAATATTCAGCCTTAGTCTTAGAAGACTAAATTTAATTCCAACCATAGAAATTTAGCTTATGACCTACAAGCATGCCAAACTAACAGGATTAATGATATTTTTGCTATAGGTAAAATAAACTAGAACGTTTATCATTATCTCCGTACCTGCCTATACTTTTACCTTCTCGTATATAAAATCCTTTGCTTTGAGACGCCAGTAGGTACAATATTTTCATATCTAATTTCAAATTAATTCTCAAAGTACGCAGAATTGGAAATGAGAGGACTTTGATATTATAAAAGGCGTTGCTTTAATTAGATTTGCTCCAAACTGCGAAAGAATCTTTATAACTACCTACACTTGGGTGTTATAAAAAAAAGTTTGAGTAAGATGTTCGAAGGATACCTACGTATGGGATTAAGTCACTGAAAGCTTCCCCATTTTAAAATAAAAATCTGAAGCTCGGCAAATTTCGTATTTTTCCCTGCCATGAGAAAAATTGAAAATCGTGTTCTCTAGTAAGAATTCAATTCGTGGTGGGAGTAAATTCAACCCAGAAAACACGCCTTCAGGAAAATTCGCTCCATTGAAAAATAAAAAACTCAACTGCGGTTAAATGATTCGACGTTTTCGACCCCTGACATATTCGCCTCGGAATCTGGGGAACCTCAAAAAAAATTTTCAGGGATAGAGGAAATCATTTTGGCAAAAAAAATTGTTATACAAGAGCGCTATTAAAGATGGGAAAACCAAAGCTCTCAACGCTGAGAATCCGCGCGAGTGAAAATTAGATGCTGCGACTCATTTGAAATTATTCATATATTTTGAGGTTAACCATTTTTTTGGCACATGGTTTTTGAGTGCTACCGGGCCGTGAATTTTTTTTAAATGGCTTATAGGTCACAGTCACGTCATTAGAAGTTTACTTTATTCTCATTTGTTATTACCTTAAACATGTATGGTGGTTAAATTGAAAAATAATGCAGGAAAATTAGAAAAACATTGCCTTGCTGGGTTATGTATTGCCCTTTAAAATTTAGATAACTTTTAAAATTAAACAAAACGAAAAAATTAACAAAAAAAAGCATGAGCACGTGCTTAATAAGTGGCAAGTACAGTAGGTACCTACCATATAGTATTATACTATAAATATTTCCTTAT